TATTGGTTAAACATTTTTCAATAAAGTTGAAAGTAACCTTAAAACCTTAAACTATATCTTAAAATTTCAAAACATCTTATATTTTGAAACAAAATAAATCCTTTAAAACATCATCTAATTTGAAAGGGAATGAGTATTATATATTTTCAAATATTGTCGTATTAAAATACCCGCACGGTTGTGCGGGTCGAGATCTAGTTTACTAATTAAGATGTAAAGAGATGTGTATTAAGAAATAAAGTACCGGTATATGTCTTGTCTTTGATGAGAAGTTAAAACACTTTGGAATCCCAATCAAAGATTATCTTCTGATTCAAGGGATATTAAAATAAATAAATAAATAAATGATAATCCAAATAAATCTTGAATTTTTTTGACAACAAATCTTGATTTAGTTGTCATAAATTACAGTGCCCACGAAAAAATAAATGGAAATTAATCACTACCTAATCCCTAAATGCACGATCGACTACGACGTGCTTGGTTCCAAACACAAAACGTGAACTCAACTTTATGTTTAAACACACACAAAATCACGTTTGGTAAACTAGGATACTCAATCAATTATAGATATATTCTTTGTGTATATCCAAAAGAAAAATGGTAAATTATAAAAATTAAAATTAAATTTAGACAATATATTAATTTTCTTTTTGATCAGACACAATATAATTAATCTAAAAATTGTTTGGTAGTAAAATACAAGCTATTTGTGTTTTGTATAAACAGTCAAAGAGGACCTTTAGATGTTAAATGTTAAAAGTCATATTGTATTTTGTTTGGTAAGTGCTACAATGTGTAGATATGATACATATCATTTAATTAAAACTTAAATCATTAAAGCTAAATATATAAATTATAAATATATATATATATATATATATATATATATATATATATATATCAATTGGATAGATAGAGACTATTCATCCCAAACGAAAACTTGAGTAGACTCTTCTTCACTATTTTCTCTCTATTGTCTACTTCTTCTTCACCTCCCTAAGTCCTATTCGATTCTATTTTGTCTTTCTTTGATTTTCATCTATTTTGAGATTTCTCTTGAGTTTATAAGAGCTGTGGGGGAGAATATCTTCTTCAGTACGTTAGGTATATACCGAAGAAACCCTATTTGTCATTTATTATCAGCTGGTGAGATCTGTTTCATCTTCTATCTATCTGAGCTTGACTTTTGTGTTGATTGAAGCTTCCAAACTTAATGGAGCAATTAAGTGGTAACAAATCCCACTGTGGATTCTCACTTGGTAGACCTAGATTTGGATCTACACAAGAAAATCAAGCTGAAGACGATGAAAAACAAGCTAAAAACATCGGTCTCATGGAAGAAGAAGATGATGATGGAACTAAAAGTGAAGAACTAGAAGTAGATGTGGAAGAAGAGGCTTTAGGTGGTCATAAAAGGCTTCACCAAACTCGGAAATATTCAATGATGAGACCAAAGAGGGTATCTTGTGTGGTTGGTAGATATGATGAGAGAGGTGAATACAAAGTTGATTGTTGTGTTTGTCATAAAACGTTTCAATCAATGAAGGCTTTATATGGACACATGAGGTTTCATCCCGACAGAGGATGGAAAGGAGTTTTGCCTCCTCGTGGACCTCATCATCCCCTTGGTAATTTGTCTTCTTCTACAATCTCTACTGATAATGATAATGATGATGATGATGATAATGATCATTGGGAACTGGGAAACGTGGTTGACCTAGAGGAATCGATCAAAGGATGGTGGAGGACAGGGAAGAGAGGAAGGAGAAGTGCTTTGAAGGATAATATTGATGCTGAGAATCTATTGTTCTTAGCTACCACTGCAGAATCTGTTGATCTTGATGTTGCAGAGACTTCTCATTCCGGCGAAGAGATGACCAAGAAGAGTAAGAAGAGGAGGAAGAAGAAGAAAAGATTGTCTGAGATGGAGAATGAACTATCAACTAGTCATCAGCAGCTTGAGGTGGTTCTTGTTGGTGGAGCTGATGAGGAAGGTGGTGGTGGTGCACGTGAGAAGCACGTGTGTGGGACTTGCAACAAGTCGTTTACTTCTTATCAAGCTTTAGGAGGTCATAGAGCAAGTCACAACAAGGTCAAGATTTTGGAGAATAACCAAGCTAGGGCAAACGGTGAAGTTTCATTACTTGGTGCCGAAGCAATGGCTGCTAGTGCTCAAAGACCAAACACATCTTTAGGTAGTAATGGAGATCATGTTTGCAACAAATGTCATAGAAGTTTCCCAACAGGTCAAGCTCTTGGGGGTCACAAGAGACGTCACTGGACTGGACTGGTTTCTAGTGAGGCTGCAATCGCTGTTCCAACGGCCCCAGCTGCAGCTTCTTCTAGTCAAGTAGCAGAGACAGTGCAAGAGGTGAGGAAATTGAAGAGAACGCCTTTGGAGTTTGACTTGAACGAGTTGCCACCTAACGAAGAATCATCACTCTAGGAAACGTATATATGCAGGTAGTAAACTTTAATAAGATAACCCAAAAAAATAAAGACTTTGAAATTAGGGAGTATTAATGATGGTAAAAAGAGACAAATATACTTTTGGTTTTTGATTCTTGAGGTTCCTGGTGTTTGGCTTTTACTACAATTTAATCTAATTTGGTGGGGTCATTTGTTATTTTTATACAAATGATATATATAGTCCTTTGTATTCTTCTGTCAAGCTTTGATTTTTCTTTCTTTATTATGCTTTTGGATTCACATAAAGCATGATGGTTTAGATTGACTAAAGTTCCATAAAGTAAACCCATCTTATTCATCTCACCATCTTATCTTTCTTTTTTTCTTCTTTTCAGACAAATGGTTATCTCCATAAATGTATTGTATTTTTTGGTGATGAATTGATGATTTGATAGTAGAACTTGCTACCTCTATTTGGAATACCAAACTATAGACAAAAATATCATAATCTATATTTGTAGAATGGTGGATCTCAAAGTAAGGCTATAGACACATTTCCACACAAAAGAATGCAATGATCTATAGGTCTAAGTTACACATATTGGAAAAATTGCAACTTACTATGATATATCATTTTGTTTTCTTTGCACTATCTTAACATATGGCAAACTTGAGATTTGAAACTATAGAGAGATCGAAAGAAAGAATCACATCTGTATATTTATGAAATATTCTTACACTAAGAAAAGATCCCAAAACAATCTTATTTTCTCCAAAATTTTTGTAGGTTTACAAATATAAAGCTCATCAACAAGACACCTGTGAGTCCAAATGAATCATTTAGTTATATAAAAAGACTATACTGTTTATTAATTGTTGGTTTGGTCTATAACTCCTCAAGACGTGGGCATTGTTAATTTTCTATTTGTGTTGGTACAAATACAAAAAAAAAAAGATGGCTCTTTTATAGTCAAATGTCAAAGTCTCCACTTGCTGCTAATGACATAAGAGCAATTATGTAGCATCATCAGAAACACCACATAATATTCACCCAACATAATAAGTTGAATATTTCTTTCTATACATTCTTAAGAGCTAAGAGTTTAATATTAAAACATACACACCGACGTCATGCAATAGCAGCACACACAAAACAAAGAAACAGCAAAGAGGAATTGGTCAGTTGGAGCCAAATATGTCCAATATATATGTAAAAGAGAAAAAAATTGACACAGATATGAAAATAATATTAATAAAAACAAAAACATATTTTAAGAGAACAAAATTTATCATGTGGGGTGCAACAATATCTGACTCTGGAATTAACTAAAACCTGAACAGCATAAACAGCAAGCATCACTGTAGAAGAAGACATGAAGTGGTCTTTACTGCTCTCTTCTTGACTTGGACCTCGACACAAACTGTACCAGCGAGAAGAACTTTGCTCCATCATGTAGTAACGATGTAGGATCTTTTTCCCAGGCTCTTGAAAGTTTTGAAAATAGAAAAGGAACTAGAAGTTGAGTTTAAACTGAGCACCCAATCATGTTGATAATATTTAACTTGCTACCTTTTTTAGAGGGCTGTCTTGCAAAATTGTTGAAACTTTTAAAGAGCTCAGTTAACGGATCCAGATTGTCTGACGAACCATTGTTCTTGATCTCGGATGATCACTATTTGTAACCCATCATTCTTGAGTTAGCAGTCTGGGACTTACTACTTGTGGATCCTCACTGTTATCCGAGTCCCTTCTAGCTGAAAACGCTAGACCAGCGTCATTACTAGACCCATCTATTGCCAAAACAATCTTGTTTGACTTCTCGTGATGGAAAATGCATTACTCATTAGTATTACTCATTGCATCCTTTATCAGCGTCTACAACAGAGGAAGAAGAGACCAATCTATCATCAATAATGAAGCCATTGGAGAGATTCATTCTCCAAATCAATGAACGCTACAATGTATTCAAACCTCATTATTTGTTCGTCCTCTAAATTCACATGGGATCAAAATATCAAGAGCTAACAATCATATCATTCCAGCAGGAACAATTCAGTAAAACTAAAACAGAAAAAAAATAACAAAATCAAATCATACAATTACATACATACGTCAAAATTCAACTCATATTCCTTTACCATCACGAAACTAGAAGATGACTGAAGAATCCTAATTCAATTATTAATTCACATCTCTCCCCCTCTAACTTCTCATCATCTCCTTTTGTATTTTTTCTAGAGAAATTATGAACGTATGGGCGACTTGGTCTGACCACGTAAAAGAGTATTATAACGTTTTGAGCTTGTAGACAACTTTGATGGCAAATGAAAGGCGTAAGTAAAGTTACTTGTCTTCTACAGAATAGTTGTTATTAAGTGTTTGCTTTTTCTTTTCTTATGTAAACAGTAACTACACAACAGTATCTGCAGAAAGAGATGAAGCATGGAAAATGCCGTAGAACACACTTCTCGGTTTCTTCTTAAACTGCATAAAGCTCCACAAACTTTACGTTGGCTAGCTCGGAGGAAAGTACCTTAGATGATCAAAATTGTTTCTGAATGGTGAAGCTTGTGTTTGTTGCTGTGATTCTTGTGTCTGCGGTTGCTGATGTGATGATGACTCGAAACTGTTTCTTAAATGCAGACCTGTGTTGAAGTATAAGCCTGTTCCAGCACAAGGTTGGTGATCATGATACTGTGGGGTTGGTTTTAAGCTAATCCGAGATGCTTCTATATTGTCTGCTTCTCCTTGGTTCATGACCATCAAGTCTTTTCCCATTAACCGCAAAACCGAGTTGGAAGGACTTGGAGGCACAACAGCTCTGTTGGAGAATTTACTATGAGTATCAAACTCTTGCTGGATCATGTATGGTGACTGCTCAAACGGTTGATTTGGATCCAAACCTGTAGGATATTTGGTTAAGTTCATGGCTACTGAAGAAGAAGCGGCTCGTCTCTGCAGTAGATGAGACGCTTGATGATTCAAGGAGATTCTCTCTTTTCTTTGGCAACAACAGGACTCATGATCAATGTTTGTCTTGTCAACAGTCATCGGCTCAGCCTCAGGGATAGTCCCATGATGAGATGGAACACAAAAGCTCAATGGAGTTGTCGAGTAGGACAAAGGAATGTCCAAAGAAGAAGATAACTCTGCAGGAAAATTCAATCTACCAGCTGCAAAGTTTGAAACCGCAGAAACAGGTGATTCAGATGAGTTTCTGTCAAGCTGGTCCATAGATGATTGGAACTGGCTTGTAATAACAGACGAGTTTCCAAGATTCTCATCAAACCCCATACCCCGAGGACTCGGTAGAAATGAACCTGGAGGGCCTGGAATGGGAATGGTATCAACCTCTACAAATAAGCTTCCTTTTCCTCTCACCTCAGAGCCAAACCTCACATCCTCTTCACAAGCGGTTTGCTCGTAAATCATATTCCCAACTTCTTCAGAGTAATACATTGCTCTCTCACTAGGTATGATTTCATTAGATGGTGGAGTGTCCAACACATTGGCTCTTTTGGTATAACCTTCCTCCTCCTCTTCACTAGTTTCTTCGTCATCATCATCATCATCTTCATAATCATAGTAAGCACTGAATGAAGGACTTGATCTTCGTAAGACCTCATTTATTTCTCTATTGTCACCAGAAACATAATCATCATCTGATAGTTGACGTTCTTGTGTCATTTCAGATTCCCATCTCCCAGCTTCTTCTTCATCTTCTTCCTCTGAACAATCCAACCGAGCTCTCTTTAGCTCCACATGCGGTGATAATAGTCTCCAGCCATCTGCTACAGATGGTGGGGTTAAGTTTCTCATGCTAGCTGCACGAGGAGACACATCTGCAACCTCTCTGAGGCTCTTTCCAGGTGGATACTTATCTTCTTGAACCGAAGCAAGGCTCTTCTTTGAGTGAACAGTGTTCAAATGAGCTCCTGCAAGTGACCTTTTTTCTTTTTCACTTATCTTAACTCTAACTGAATAACTGTGAGCTCTTTTACTCTCAAACATAGTCTTGCTCCTTCCAGAGACTTGGCTCCGCAGCTTCTGTTTCTTTAAAGGAGTAGAACCAGTGGCAGACAAATCTGCACCTCTCAACACAAGACGATCTTCTCCTGACCATTCATCATCATCATCCTCAGATGGAAGGTCCCGCAAAGCATTTAGCTTCTTTGAACTCAGACCACGTTTGGCTAACATCCGCTGATTATAGATTCTACGAGGACCCTTGCTGCTACCTTCTCCAGAAAACTCTCTTTGATACTCCGGTACCTTCTGAACATAGCACTCTATTGTTATTTCATGATCAAAATATCAAAAAAAAAAACAAAGGACAGCAAGTTATGGCATTACCTCTGGAGCATTGGCTTTGTGATTGGTTTGTTTAATGTACTTAAGATGTTTCTTTCCTCGACCTCTCTTCCTCAAGCTTTTACTGTTTTCTTTACTACCTTGGCTTAAACTTCTCTTTTCACTACTACCATCCTCCTGCTGCTCTCTCAACGTAGTAGTAGAAGTCTTCTTCTCGCTGAACTCTGTTAGAATCCGCAGTTTTTGGCCCTTGGCATCAATATAAACAGGACCAACGCCAACAGGAGAAACTTTCCTCTTCTTAGACACCACTTGAGATTTATCAGCAGCAACCCGGTTTGTACAGCTCAAAACCGACGCCCATTGTGTTCCATTTCTCTTATCAAGATCTTCTAATGTGCATTCTTTGGCAGTAGCGTAGATCTCAACCAGCGTTTTAACTTTCACCTGTGGCTTAACTCTAGGCTTGCTTGGCTTACTACTAACCGGTGGCACCACTGAATCAACAGAATTAACTCTAGACTTGCTTGGTTTACTACTAACCGGTGGCACTGCTGAATCCACAGACAGACACTGATCAATGTGAGCATTCAAAGTAGTGTTAGAAGCTGATGAGAAAGTTTTACAAATAGGACATGTTTTAGACGCCATGATTGATTCAGAAGCCGTCATCACAAGGCCACCACCACAACCATCTTCTCTAGATTTCACCATTCCTCCTCGGCCACACTTTTTACTCTTGTTAGCAGCTACTACTACTATCTCTACCTTAGACTTTGAAACACTTTTGCTAGTAAACAAACCATTCTTGATGATCCTTGATTGGCTGCAAACTCCTTTACTAGTCTCTGCTACTGTCTGATGAACATGGGACACTCTTTGCTTCCCTGACAAAGAACTAGCACTGGTCTCAAACTGGTTAGTTAGTGTAGAAAATTTCTGAAACGGTGGCAAAGGATCAGTCACTCCATGTGATGAACAAAGTTGAAGACTTTTGGTAGAAAACGGCCAGCTGTTGTTGATGTTGCTCTTCCGGTTACTGTATGCGTAATCTCTGCAAAACATCAATCACATAAAAAATAACAAAGTTAATTACTTTCAAAACATAAAACTCAAAAAAGGTGAAAACTTTTGACCCATCAAATCAGTAAGGAAGAAAGGTTAAAACTTTTGATCTAAGCTATGAAGGATGAGATGATTTGAGAGTGGCTCATCATGAAAATTCGGTGACTTTTTTGGTTACCTGATGGAGAAATTGGAGAGATGGGATTGACCTAACGCATGGGAAGAAGTGTTGAGACGTAATAAGAGATTGGATGAAGAAGGAGAAGAGGAAAGTGGGTGACGTGGTGGGTTCTCAGTGGATAAGAACATTTGATTCTTCTTCCACTGTTACTACTACTTGCCTCCTCTTCGCTTCCCAAATGCTTTAACATAACACCAGATCTTATTTATCATCCACTTGTTAAATCTGATCTCTTCCTGCTAAACAAGATTCACATGTAATTATGATTTTAAGAAACTTTATATATTCTTGAGATTTGATGAAACCAAGAAAGATGAAAAAAATTAGCATTATTTCATGTGAACGGATGTTTGAGTTTGAAGTGTTTATATGTGTGTGATTTGATGAAGTCAAATTCCACAAAGACAAACAATTGTTTTCAGGCAAAAAGACAGTGATTTTTTTGTCCTAAAAATCTAGTAAATCTGATTCAAGAGCTTAATTTACTGTTGATGGGATTATAATTAAGGAACACAAAAAAGTGAACTTAGTCATCACATAAGATGAAGAAGTTACCAATTAGGTTATAGGTTAGATCAAAGTTAAGAGGATTATAAACAAACATATAGTGTTCAATAAACTGAAGATTATATGAGCAATAATTATATGACCCCAAAGAAAATTTAAGACGGGTGGATTCTTGATCAGTTAAACAAAAAATATGTGATTACAAATAGATTTGAAGGTGTAAAGAAACAAATCTGAAAGGAAAAAAACAAAAATTAGATCAACAGTAAGTTTACATACATACAGAAAAATCTGAAAAACTTGAAATCAGAACCCCAACTTAACTATCAGAAGAAAAATACTTTGAAAATAATGATTTTACTTATAAATCTATGAACAAACACACATACCCATCTGAAAGATTTCAAGATTTGGGATCTTGCGATTACAGAGAAGTATAGAAGATCAAAAAGTAGAAAATAAACTAGATTCACTAACTTTAAAACAAACTGAAGAACAAGAATGAAACTCTATAGATGGATTTTGGAAATGGATTTACAAACCTTTAGTAGATGGGTTTTCTTGGCAAAGGAAATAAAATGGGTTCTTTTAGAGAGAGAAAGAGAGCATTGAAGAATGAAAAAGATGGAGAAAGAGAGAGAAGGAAGAACCAAGCAAAGCACTAGAATGAAATTTTGGTGTTCCATATAAGTCCACATATGTATTATCACTACATGTGAATAAAATAAAGAGCAAAAAAACAAATGAATGCAAGAGAAGAAAATATCGAAAGTGTCCACACTAACTTCAATTATTTATCACACTCCACCATCTTCATTTTATTATTTTCTATTTTATAGATTTCGTGTAGCTAAATTTTAGGGTCCAATTTCTCTAAATTTTAAGTCTCTTCACTGCTATTCTCTTATGAGTCGATTTAGTGAACTACCCATATTTGAAGCTCAAATTAGCAAAATACCATTGATTAGACATGAAGGACACTGACACAACCATTTGGCAAAAAAATGCCAAGAATGCCCTTTCTCTTTCCTCTCATTAACACAAAGCGTAAAAACATTTGTTAACATATAACACTTCTGTTAACGTCTACAATATTTGTTAACAGCCAACACATTTATTACCGCGAAGCGTAAAAATAATTGTTAACAGTTAACACTTCTGTTAACGTCTACAATATTTGTTAACAGCGAACACATTTATTAACGCGAAGCGTAAAAATAATTGTTAACACCTAACACTTCTGTTAACGTCTACAATATTTGTTAACCGCTAACACGACGTCGAATCTAAAACCCAAAAAATTGATATCATCAAAAAATTGAGGATTCAAAGTCACTTATGAAAAAAATAACGAAATTTAAAATTTAATTGTATATAGAATGATAGAGATTTGTAAAATAATTAGGGATTGGAGAGAGAAAAAAAGTCAAAATTGAGGATTCAAAGCCACTTATGAAAAAATAATGAAATTTGAAATTTAATTGTATATAGAATGATAGAGATTTGTAAAATAATTAGGGATTGAAGAGAAAAAAAAGGGAGATGTCAAAGAGAGGAGAGAGTGTAGAGAATGGCAAAATGATCCAAAGGAAAGTGATTGTCACATCATGGGCAATTCTCTAATTATAGATGCCAAATAGGGCACTTTAGCCAATTATCTCTTCTCTTATTCCCAGGTATATATTTTGATATACTTTGTTTTCTATACAAATGATATCAGTTTGTGATTGGAAATACAATATACAGTAAAATCTTTATAAATTAATACCCGATAAATTAATAATCTCTATAAATTAATAAATTTCACCGGTCCCAAGTTAGGCCGGTGTAAAATACAACATAAATTGATAAAATAATAAGATAATAATATTTTCAAAACTTCCATATAAATATATGGTCCCACTAAAATCAGAAATTAATAATCTAGCTATATACAATTTTATATAAGTACAATCTAACATTATATGTTGGTTTTATATTTATTATAAAAATACTTTTAGTTTTTTAAACATTTCAATATATTTTGATAATATTTAGTTAGGAATTTTATATTTACTATCAAAATACTTTTGTTTTTTAAAAAATTTCAATATATTTTGATAATATTTAGTTAAGTTATATCGAAAACCATGTAACAATTCTATGAAACATAAAATATACACCAAATAAGATAATAAAACAATATAAAAGTCAAATTTCTAAAACTTAAATAATGTACATATGCTAAAATCAAATACTTTTTTATTTTACAAATAAAAGTATAAAAAATAAATAAAAAAATCTAAATAAGGAAACTTTCATAAATTAATATCTCTATAAGTTAATAAATTTTCAAAGTCCCAAATTAATATCTCTATATCTTAGTAACAATTACTCTAATACAATACATAATTAATATCTCTATAAGTTAATAAATTTTCAAAATCCCAATATAACAAGAATGAAACTCAATATAGAAGGATATAACACTCTGTTTTTCTTAGTAACAATTACTTTAATACAATACATAATTAGAAACTTTCGTAAATTAATATCTCTATAAGTTAATAAATTTTCAAAGTCCCAATATAGATGGATATAGCACTCTATAGTATTGATATAACCTATTTCATCTTGATAGAGGGATATAGCACTCTATTTTTCTTAGTAACAAAAAACAAAAATAATATTTTTAAGTTGCAAGTGATAGTCTTAAAAGTTACAATAAAAATTAAAAATCATAATGTGTTCTATAATTTCGTCCAGACATGAACTGTATGTAAACTTGCTGCAACGTAAATAAAAAGAAATTCAAAACCAATAAAAAGGTTTAGATATCTGTATTTTTTTTTTTTTTTGATCAAAAGATATCTGTATTTATCAGTTGAAAAAAAACGAGTTTTACAAGGAGCAACTTGGATCTAGACCCACCAAGCAGACAAGCAAGCGACACGTCGCAATCACGTCAATCTTAAAATAAAATAAAAATCTTGGGGCCGTTGTTCCTCCACTCTCTTTAAATTATTAATTTTTTTATAATGTTTTACAGTTTTTACTTTTTAAACCAAAAACAAAATCATTTTTGTACGTCGATGAAATCTTATTTACGAAATACATACAAACGCACGCCCACACGCGATTAGATATTTCACCTTAGTCACACATGTCCACGCGCTTAGATAGTTGAACCGACGTTCATGTAGGATTTTTTTTATTTTTTTTTAACACACGTTCATGTATGATAAAATGCCAGAGTATTAATGTAGAATAACTAGTGTTGATTTGATCAATATTCACTGAAATAACAAAATTAAGATATAGCCACAATGAATGTGACAATTATTACCAAAATTTAGTTATTTTTTTTATGCGTGAAGATAAAGAGAGTGGTTCATTTGCAGAGTAACAATTAATTTAATACAATACATAATTAGAAACATATCGTATGATATACATGTTTTACAACATAGGTCAAACTACACTATAATATACATGATATAATTGGAAAAAATAAAGAGATCATCATCATAGAAGTGTATGGGGCTTGAAAATTTACTCTAATGTAATAAGATAAACAGTTGAGAAATGCAGAATATAAAAGACTTGAAAATTTTGGAATGTGCTATATGGAAAACATATGTATGCTATTAGAACATATAAGGAAAATGAGGATGCAAAAGATATTATACTATATGTGTTATAGTATAGTCCACCAAGGATGTTAAAGAAAAAAGTTTAGCGGTAAAAGACATAATATGAGGACCAAGCATCTGTACACAGATACAAGAAGACAAAAATGATTCGTGTATGAACAAACAAATATACTTTGGCGGAGACGAATATAGTTGGTACGTATGCATATTTACAAATTATGTACGGGAACATCATATATAAAATACTATTATTTATCGTACATAGTATACTATCAATATACATTCCAGTTGACAACAGAAGTCCATTCCGTTTGGAGAAAAAGTAAGAATGCATGAAAATATCGGGCATGAAAATGTATTGTTTGTAGGTAGATGAATCATATAATACAACTGATGATGTAAAGAGGACCCAATTGATGGGATCTATTATAAATGACAATAGTATACAAACACAAGTGTTATGTATGGCTAACTCAAAACCTATGCTATCGTATAATTTAGATAGTATAGTTACGACATTCCCTCAAATTATAGACAATGTTACACATAAGAAAGCGGCAACAAGAATAAAACTGATGATTTTAGCACATGAGTAGAGAGCACAGCATATGGGTTCCATTCAACATGTCATTACAGTAGTTCTTCGAATCTGAAGGTCGAGAAGACTCCAACGTAAGTGACTCGTCTGTGAGTGAGACACACTGATTCATGCTTCCTGTGCCATTAAGTTTTAAAAGCACAAGCGTTAGCACACAAGATAACCCTGTGAAATGTAAATCATGTACAAAAATCACATAAACAAATGTATGTTCAATAATGGAACACACGGATACCTAACAAGTACATTGTTAGATGGATAACTATACTACTGCCACTGTCCACATAATATAGAAGTTCCACACAATCACATCAAATTAAGACATTATGTAAAAATTATAATGAACTATACTATTAGGTCATTTGGTATAGTACATTTGCAAGAAAAACGAACAAACACAACTATACAATTACAGATTTAGAGATGACATCAAGACAGAAACCATGTCAACATATAGTCATTTGAACAAAAACTGCAACAAAACTATTCATGTTTTGCAATTTAGGCAGAACATTCAAGACTTACATAACAACATCACAGATTCGTGCATATAGTGATAGGATGTTGTTGTATATTGTGTGAGTATTCCGAATTGAAGCTGGAGAATACTTCAATCTCATGTTGCTGCGATGCCAGAGGAGGTTTCTGTGAGGATATCGCACCGATCAAGTTGTCATGTCGCATTGAGTTTGATGAGAACAACTGCCGCAACACACGCTAAACTTGAAAACATCCACAACTAAAACCGGCCACTAAGGCGAAGTCTCCAATCCCATAATGGATTTTTTTTCCTGCAAACACCTAACATAGCTAATACTTCTTACGTGCTATCAACTGGCGTGACAAAAAATGGTATGCAAATATGACTTAAATTTATAAAACATAGCAACTGTACTATATTATATATGTTTGACAAATGGTATAGAATAATCTTTCTATACTAGTAGCATATCTATAATAATAAAGTTGGCTTTCTTCTCTTCTTGGGGCGTTTTTTGACACTTGTCACTTTCTAATTAGTCAATTTTGTATATCTGGGCCATGTATAACTTACTAAACTATTTGGACTCTAATAGTATTATTTTCTTATAGAAGCCCACCTGTAAAAAGATTGAGCCCATCACTTCCTTCGGCTCTGATCACTTTCTCATACGGCGGGGAGAAACCACCGCGTCTCTTGGTTTTCGTAAGAACTACTCCAATTCGCCGTAACGCTTCACAAACTCAATTAACTCTTTGTTTATCTCTTGCTGGTTTTACAATAACTGCAACATTGATTTGGGCTTCCAACATTAATTTTCCTTTTCTCTTTGCTCCTTCTCGAGATATGCTTACAGTTTTTGAAGTCTCTTGCGTTTTCTAAACAAACAAACATGAACTCCTATGTTTCTGGAACTAAATACCGAGTACCCCTTCGCAATTCTATGATGGTGCAAACATGAATTATCGAAGG